GGCAGGCGAGGGGTGGTGCATAGGGTGCACCCATCCTCTTACCATCTTCTCGGCCGCTGTGTTGCTGATGAAGCGGGACCCGTGCCCGGGGCTACCCGCGCACTTCACCTTTATCCCTGCAGCAGCAGAGAAAAGGGAGACATTGAGGAGAAAGCCCGGGGTGGCACCGGTGCCCCAGTGCCTGCAGAGCCAGGGATGGGGTGGTGGGCATGCAGTTACTCACACCATGGGCTCTTCTCGCCATAGAAGACGCTGAAGGTATCAGACGGGCTGGCCAGGCCTGCAGTGGGCCCAGACGGGGGGTCAGCAGGGCATAGGGATGCCATGATGTGCCCTCCCCGCTCTGCCCTGGCAGCATTTCCCCTCCAGGCTGGCACTGTGTGGGTCACTGCCAAAAACGCGGAGGGGGTCCCTGGAAGCCATGCCGTGTGCCAGTGCCCGGGGAGTGATGCCAACAGGCAGAGGGGTGCATGCCAAGAGGAGACACGTCCCCGTGCCAGCCCTGCCACCACTCACCCTCATCCAGGGCGAAGCCCACATTGAGCGCTCGGAACTCGGGGCGCTGCACGAACATCTCCATGCCCTTGTGTCCGCCCACCTCCTCATCTGCAGAGAAGAGCCTGGCGTGGAGGAAGGAACTGGGGTGTCCCCTGGCCCCCCACCCTCCAGTTCGCCTTCTACAGCAGCTTGGGTGCCACCAGTGCACCCAATGTCCTCAGACACGGAAACCCCTCCAGCCTTGAGGTCGGGGAGCTCAAAATCTGGAGACGCTGGTGGAGGGGTGCCCGGCTGCCACACCACGAGGAACTCCAGAGCATCATCCAGCTGCCAGCCTCTCCCATCCCCCCGAGAGGAGACACCCTGGGGACTCACCAGGCACAAAGGTGAGGTGGATGGTGCGGGCAAAACACTTTCCCTCGGCCTTCAGCCTCCGGACAGCCTCGAGGTACCTGCAGGGAGAAGGTGCTGTCTGGGCATCACAGAGGAGAGGGGCTGGTGTGTGCTGAGGTGCCCCATGGGGGACAAGCAGTGGCACCCTCAGCCCCAGGGACCCTGGGGATGGTGGCATCTTGTCCTGCATCACTCAGAGGATTCCCACACCATGCCCAGCCAGTGGGCGCAGAGCCCTCCACTCACTGGATGGAGACACACTTCATGTCCTGGGCACCCCGGGCATAGATGTTGCCTTGTGAGTCCTTAACAGCCTCAAAGGGTGGGTAGGTCCAGTGCTCCTGCAGGGAACAGCGGCCGTGACCCCCAGTCCTCTCCACCATGCCCATCCCACCCCTCGCCCTGCCCCGGCACCTCGAAGACAGGCACAACGTCGGTGTGGGAGTTGAGAAGGATGGAGCGCAGGCGAGGGTTGGTACCCTGCCAGGTCAGGATCAGCACCACGTGGCCCTGGCATACCTGTGGAGTGAGGGCAGGATGTCACCACGGTCCCGGCTAGACACCGAGAGGCTGGGACTGGCAGGCTGGAGCCAAAAAGCATCAGTCTGGGAAAAGTTTCTTGATGCCACCCGGCAGGTCACCCCTTTCTCCACTGGGAGAGGGCAGGCAGCAGGAGCAGCCATGCCCACACTCCTCCAGCCAGACGGAGCCTGGCTGCGGGCACAAGACCTGGCTGCAGTTCAGATGGAGAAGGAGAGACGAACTCAGCATCTTCCCCCGGTGCCCAGGAGTCCCTTGGCACAACCCTTGCCCAGCAGGAGGGACGTCCCCAGCCAGTCCCCAGCCAAGGAGACCCTGCCAGGTCTGTGGCTAATCATAGCACAGGCGGCTGCAAAGGTCAGCGGGCAACAGCCAGAACACGGGCTTAAGGAAGGGCTCAGGTCAGGAGAGGATTACAGGCACAGGCAGAAGGGGTTTGCTCCTGCCCAGCTCTGGGGCAGCGGGCAGGGGAACAGCCCGGTCACTAAAGACCCGGGAGTGGGTGGATGAGTGGGTGGATGGATGGATGGATGGATGGATGGATGGATGGATGGATGGACGGATGGACAGATGGATGGACAGACCAGGGGCTGGTCCTCGCCTCGCTCACCTCCACTTTCTGGCAGGCCAAGCCCAGGTCAGTGCCAACACGCTCCAGAAACTGGACAGCCGCATCTGGGGAGGAGCAGAGATGCCCAGAGTTACATCGGGATCTCTCTGCCCTCTCGCCACAACCCCCTGGGGAACCCCAAGGCTCTCTGGAGCTCCCAGACCAAGGAGAGAGGTGACCAGAGAGGGCAGGTGATGGAGGTTCTGGGCACAAGAGGCAGCTGGGAGTGCGGACAGGAGTGGCTCATCACCATCCCTTTGGGGCGAGGTCTAGGGGAATGTGAAAAAATAGAAATTGAAGGAGGTGAGTTCAAAGGGGATGGTTCTCTGTAGGAGTTTTGGGAGCTCCTCAACAATAAAAAAATCTCGATGTACTTTAGTGGGAGGATGGAAATATTAACGGAAGGAGATCTACACAGGGTTATCATAAGCATCTGTCCCAGAGCCAGGGCAGCATGGAAAGGGGGGCCCCTGGGGCACAGGGCTGGAGGAAGCAAAGGACAGCTCTGGGTGTGCTCCAGACATCCCTGCTCCAACCAAAGGTGCCAGCAGAGATAAGGCACAAAGGTGTCTGCTCCTAAACACCATGATCGAAACCGCCCTATCCGAGGACGCGGGCACCCGGGTCCAAAGACCAGAG